TATTAAAAAATAAAAACATCATTGCTTTCTCAAAATCACATAAAGCCATATTATAACATCGACTGAGATAAAGAATAAAATGAAATATTAAAAACACGATGTATCTCGCTGCATTGCGCGAGTACGCTTCTAGTACTTATTTAATATGTTATTTGGATGTAAATTGTTAAAAAAAAATCATGAATTTATATAAATTGAATACATAAAAATTAAATTTATCAAAACTTTTAAATGAATATAAATCAAATTTATAATATAATATATATTAAAACAATAACAAGATATCGTTATACTATAAAACAAAATAAATTTTAATAAATACATTTTTTACAACGTGGAAACTTTAATTTATTTATCAAATAAAATGTCAACGATAATATCACATTAAATTTGGTATTCTATTATTATAACATTATTTTAATATATTACAAAAATAATATAAAAATAGGTATCATTTTTATGAAAGATCCTCTTGCATATTACAATTTTAGACAGGACCAAGTCCTCTGTTTCTAAACAGGAAAGTCGACGAGATAATCATACACCATTCCTTCAAGTTTGCCGTCCATTGTCCATTGACATTCTAGACTCTTGTGATTCTATATTTAGGCCTTCTTTGTTGTGTTTTTTGGTTTATTATCATGGTTCCTTTTGGTGCAAATCAGTTTCATCTCTTTTTGTGTATCATACCCTTTAGGTAGTCTCGGGTATGTAAACAAAATTGGCATGTATATTGTTTAGTACTACTAGGACAAGATTGGACAAGTTGTTCTGTGTTTATTAAATTGAACATGATAAGACAAAACTGCTACAATGACCAAGTTGCCCTTGAATGATAGCAATGTTTTCTTGATATTTTTGGCTCCAGAAATGCTATTTTCTTCCATAGATCTGTTGGCTGACCAATTGGATTCTTACAATGATGAAACGATATTCAACATTTTTAGAAGATTTAATTTCACCGTATTCTTTGTGTAGATAAACAATGTTGGGACGTACGTTATGAAACCTACCATAGAGTATACCGCTGATGACTTCTCGATGCACATGGCTACCAATTTCGAATCTTCTTTCCATCTGTGTCAACTCGCACATCCTCTTTTAAAGGCTTCTGGAGTTGGAAGCATTGTGTTCATTTCCTCAGTTGCAGGTTTGGTTCATATTCTTTCTGGATCAATTTACAGTGCTACCAAAGGTATGGTTGAATAATCCTATTTAGTACTACATAGAACTATATAATTGCTCTGGAAAGGGGGTTGTAACGTACATTTTTTACTTTCGTAGGTGCAATAAATCAACTTACAAAGAATTTAGCATGTGAATGGGCAAAAGACAACATCCGCACCAACTCTGTAGCACCATGGGCCACTAAAACTCCGCTTATCCAAGATGTATTATGCCTCCATTTTTCTCGTATTTCTATTGATAATGTTGAAATTTCTTTGTTATGATACAATTGAGGTTGATGGGAAATGTTTATTTGTGCAGTTACTTGATAATAAGAAGATTATGGATGAGGTGGCACATAGAACGCCTCTAAAACGTCCTGGAGAAGCGAATGAAGTTTCATCTCTGGTAGCCTTTCTTTGCCTACCTGCTGCTTCTTACATTACTGGCCAAACGATTGCCGTTGATGGAGGATTTACAGTTCACGGGTTTTAGTAAATGCAACCTGTCATTTTGCTTGAAGAGTTCCTTTTTAGGAAATGCAATAAAGTTTGTCAATTTGAGTATTAGATAACATATGTTTGGTTGGTAAAACAATAACAATTAAAACGTTTGAATAAGTTATTACTATTTGAATACCATGTTTTGTTATATGTTAATTCACACACACACACACATATATATATATATATATACACACACAGAGAGAGGAAGGGTTTAGGGGAAAATCTCATAATAAATAAAAATCGAGTAACACCCTAGTAACCGTTGATGTAGATGGTATGTACATGTGCAAACACGTAATTGAAGTTATTTTTTGGTTTTATGCACGTGTGCATACTAGAAAATTGCTTATATATATATATATATATGTGTGTGTGTGTGTGTGTGTGTGTGTGTGTGAAATAATAACTAAAATCATAGCCTTTGATGGAAAAATAATGTAAAAAATATTCTTATATTGGTTCTCACGAGGTTCTATATAGTGTGAGGTGTGACATGACAGGTGATGCCACACCTCAAGCCTTGGAAACCATGCCAAAGTCAAGGTGTGACTTATAACAACAAATCTCTATATCATATATGATATTATATACATAAACAAATATTTTCTACTATTATTCAATAATAATAAACAATTTAAGTTAAGTTAAGTTATATATTAAAAACTAACAAATAAGATATTAAAAAGATAAGTAAAATCAAATATCATGTTACAAAAACTATTCATAACGAATAACATGTCTTAATTTAACATGTCTGAAACACAAGACTAATTCTTTCCTAATTTCTAAGAGCGTCCATAGTCATGGACTTTTTAAGAGGTTAATGACTTTGTCATATCATCTTTCTCTTTTAACCACTTTAGTTTTTTATTTTCTAAACATTTCATAAACCTTTCATCCAAATCATGAACTGGTTCATGATTTATATAATAAAAAACTATAATAATAAAAATTATAATGATTAAAGTATATTATATATACATATATATTGTTGTGAATGGTATCGTAGAACAAATTAAAGTTATATAAAGTAAAAGAATTGTTGTAAGACCCTACAATTACAATAACTAAAAATCAACTTAATATTTTTGAATTAATTATATATTAATTTGTATAGGTACATTTTGATAATTAATAAATTATTTTACTAAATTATTTCAATTGATTATATGTTCAAAAGAAACGGATAAACACACATTTTACTGGGTTCGATCATAAAAAATTGGCGGGGCCCTCACTTTAACATCAAGGAACGGTTCCTATGTGAGGACCGCTCCAATGAGGTGAACAAAAACCTCAAGACTCTCAATGGTAATAAATTAGAATGATGGGTCCTTTATTGTGATGAGATGGCAAAAACCTTATCGTTGCAGATGTTCTAAGCCTGGTATCTGACATGGGAGTTAGGTTAAGTCATAACACTATAGATATCTGATCAAAATTAAGATCCATGCCCAATTTCAATTAAAAAAAAGAGTTAACTTCCAAATTGAAGTAGAGTATTGACAAACAAATTGAGAGAAATAAAATCGTGTGATAATCAAAGACACAAGTAAGACATTTCAATATCATGGAGGAGTTAAGACATCACAGATAAGACTTGTCAGTAACCCTCCAGTCAAACCTGAAAAATGATGCTTAACAATAAAATAATATGAAAGGGTTGTAAGTCAAAGAAAATAACAAACATTTTAGGTAAACAGGTGAAAATTTTCATAATAGATAACCAAAAAAAAACTTGAAAAATGAATCCGGTGAGCAATTAATATTAGAAAGACCTAGCAAACACTTAAAGTAAGAAAGCTAAAAGGTTTAAACAAACGATACTTAAGAAAATGAGAACTAAAACCGTGGAGTATAGTGTTGGATACTCAGAAATCTGAATCGTGTACCGGCTAAGAAAGGTGAATCACAAACCTTTTTTGAGTTAATCAAATCTCCTTCTCGACAATCCTTCGAATCCTAAAGCAACCAAACAAGAAATGGAAACAGTAAAGTTGAAAATGTGTGGGCTTTAAGAGAAACTGAAATCGATTGTATATGAGAGAAATAGCAGATGGATTTTTTAGAATGAGAAATATAATGTTTTTTTCAAAATGAGCAATATAGCGTGAATGAGATAGAGAATGAGCGACCAAAAGCGTGTAGAAACTGGCGAATAGCAAGATCTGAAAATTTCAAATTTTGAATTACGACCTTGGATTTGGAAAAGGCCGCTCTTGAAAACCCAAATACGAAGTCATATATGAAAAATCATATCGGGAAGATAAATCCATAAATATAAAGCTCGTGCACTATAAACTTGTACATTCTGCTTCTTAAGATGTAATTAAGAGATTTTTGCAGGTTGGAGCTTGAAAATGGTGTAAGAAAAGTCTCAACAGAAAGAAAAAAAAAAACCCAAAACTCTGAACAATGTGTTTTAGTTAAAAGTATTAAAAAGATAAAATGTAGGCTTTAGGAACTTGTAGAATGTGCTTTGTGAGTTATAGTTGAGAAATTTTTAGATTTTATGCTTTAAACAACAATACATCATGCATAGAAAGTGGTAACTAAAAGTTTTTATTCAAATACATTATAATGTAGGGTATATATATATATATATATATATATATATATATATATATATATATGTGTGTGTGTGTGTGTGTGTGTGTGTGTGAAATAATAACTAAAATCATAGCCTTTGATGGAAAAATAATGTAAAAAATATTCTTATATTGGTTCTCACGAGGTTCTATATAGTGTGAGGTGTGACATGACAGGTGATGCCACACCTCAAGCCTTGGAAACCATGCCAAAGTCAAGGTGTGACTTATAACAACAAATCTCTATATCATATATGATATTATATACATAAACAAATATTTTCTACTATTATTCAATAATAATAAACAATTTAAGTTAAGTTAAGTTATATATTAAAAACTAACAAATAAGATATTAAAAAGATAAGTAAAATCAAATATCATGTTACAAAAACTATTCATAACGAATAACATGTCTTAATTTAACATGTCTGAAACACAAGACTAATTCTTTCCTAATTTCTAAGAGCGTCCATAGTCATGGACTTTTTAAGAGGTTAATGACTTTGTCATATCATCTTTCTCTTTTAACCACTTTAGTTTTTTATTTTCTAAACATTTCATAAACCTTTCATCCAAATCATGAACTGGTTCATGATTTATATAATAAAAAACTATAATAATAAAAATTATAATGATTAAAGTATATTATATATACATATATATTGTTGTGAATGGTATCGTAGAACAAATTAAAGTTATATAAAGTAAAAGAATTGTTGTAAGACNATATATATATATATATATATATATATATATATATATATATATTATATTTCTCAAAAAAATCTAAAATAAATTGTATTGTGTAGTATATAACATTTAAGTTATACACCATTTGTGTCTAAAAAAACACATATTTTGACATTAATATATCTTGAAAAAGGCAAAAATCTTGTTTTTGGTGTGTTTGAAGATATCAGTCTACCATTTTGTATTTCAAAATGACAACACATTATCGACACTACAACTTTATGTCCATAATGTGATCATGTTGCCATTTTATATCTTCATAATTGTACCGATTTAAGTTTGGGTTAATTATAGTGAGATATACAATACTTTCCTCACTTGTGTTTTAAACATAATACTTTCAAAATCCCAAATAGAGGAAGATACTTTATTTCCATTTCTATTTTCTGGTACCATGTTGCCAAACCAGCTGAAATTGACATGCTATAACTTTTGTTTTGTTTATATTTTGGACAACGAAAAACACAATCCACTACACTTTGTTTACTTAAATATTTTGGTCAAGTTAGGAATGAGACATGATTGGCTTCTACTTATTTCTTAAAATCTTCAATTCAACTTGGAGATCAAGAGATCTGATTAAAATACTAAACACCCATGTGTTTGGTTTAACTCCAATATAGTTTAACCAACGTTTGATTCGCAAGATTCTCATCAAATTTGAAGGCATTGAAATTGTCATTTATGTTTATCAAATTCTATTCAGCTATTTGGCTTACAAATGAAATGGAATTGAGTTTCATAGATTGAACCATTCAGAGATTTCATCATTCCATCACATGTGTAATGCAATTCAATTCCATTCCATTCCTATCTATTTTTTCTCAAAAGACAAAAATACCAAAACAATCTAATCTACTATATATATGACCAATCACCATTCTCACCACCCCTTCGTCGCCCCCACCGCCATTGTTGCCATCACCACCATCGTCGTTGTTGCTACCACCACTGTCGTCGCATTACCACCATAACTTTGCCCCCACAACCACCATTGCCCCTTCGGCCACCACCACCACTATCACTAATTAGTATTATCATCAACTTTAACATTAAATGGTATTTTTAATTTAAGCAAGAAAATATGAAAATGTCATAAAGGAGTATTTTGGTCACTTTTCATTAGTACATTCCAATTTACCCCAACCAAACATGGAAATTTCAATTCCATTTCGAAATTCCATTCTAATTCTTGTCAACCAAATGCATGCATGGTCAAACTTCATATAATTTAATTTTATATTTTTTCAAATTCCAATTCAACCAAATTCCATTATGAGAACCAAACGCCCCTACTTTTAGATTAAATAAACAGAAAACCAATTTAATTGACCGAATAACACCACTACTTAAACATATAAACTAAAAGTAAAAAAAAAAGGCTTGAAATACAAGCTTGTTAATTAGTATGAAGAGAGCAGTTAATCAATCATAAGAACTCAAGAGAGTGTAAAACGTAAATACGAATAAAATCAAATTCACAATTTACACATCAACAAATTTTAATCTCCCTGTGAACTTTATATTAACATTTTCCTTAGAAATTTCTGAGTCTACCACTAAACCTATTTCTTCAAAACATAGTAATTTGCACCGACAAGTGATTGGAACTTCTCATTTTTTTTTCCAAATGTGTAAACTAGGTTACAGAACTATTGAGTATTAGTTCGTTAGTATGAAGGGATCACTTATCCTATATTTAGCAAATTAGCTGATAAATTAATTGATAAGCCAACTATTATCTGATAAGCTAGCTGGGAGCTAATAAGCTAACATATGAACAAATCATGTGAGATAAAACTAACTAATAAGCTAGATGATAAATGTAAAATAACCAAAAAAGACATTCTAAAAATTAGTTAATTAAAATATTTCATACTATAATTAAAACAAGCCCTTAATAATATAATATGTTAATTATAGAAACAAGATAGTAAAAAAAAAATTAAATAATATAAAAGCATCTCCATCAACTATGCTAAAATGGAGATTTTGGAGATTTAACGATTTTTTGTTGTTGCAATACTTATGCTAGAGTGTATGCTAAAATAAAGAATAAAGAAAAAATAAGATGAAAATCTCCAAATGTTGAGAAATCTCTAGAACTCTATGAAGGAGATAGAAATAAGAGTGAATTGCGCTAGGGTCCTTGTGGTTTGCTCAAAATTTGGATTTAATCCCTAAAATAAATTATCTATATTAGTGGTCAACTTTTCATTTTCATAACAACCATAGTCCCTCCACTTGTGGGTCTTTGTTTTTAACAAATAACACTGGTACACCCACACGCAAATGTAATAGGTTTAATAAAATCTTTATCGAGTAGTTCTTTCAGTTGTGACATCATTTTTTTCATCTCAGAAGGAGCCAATCACGAGCCACCGGTGAGGCCCCTGGTATCAAATCAATTCTAAATTCTATCGAACGGTTTGGTGGAAGATTGGTCAAATCATCTGGAAATACTTTCGGGAAATCACTTACTATAAGTATACCCTCAACTTTACCTTTTTCTTTCTTGGAGTCAATTACATAACCCAAGAAACTTTGACAACCTTTCTTAACACACTTTCGGGCCTTTAACACTGAAATCAAACTTAGTGTGATGGTCTCGTCGGTCATCATGAATTACAACAGGTCCCTTACCAAGTAAGTCAATATGAATCATTTTATTGTTGGACACAACTTTGGCCTAATTTTTCGATAACCAATCCGTTCTCCGTTCCTACCACTACATCAAACTCTCTCAGGGACATAGGAAAAAATTGAATTGGCACAACACACGCATCCACCTCTATGTTACAGTCATCAAACTTTATTCACTGAAACCCGATCATCATTATCAGTCTCTACTACTAAAACATAATCTAACAGTTTGGGTTCCACATGTAGACAATCAACGAATGAAGGATAAACAAAAGAACAATTGACAACAGAATCAAATAACACTTTAGCACATGCGAAGTTCACCAAAAACATACATGTCACCATATCTGGTGTCTCTTCGGGTTCTCCCTTGGTCATCTGAATTGCACGCCCCTTAGCTTTTGACTGATCGACCTTTCTAGCTTCACTTTGATTTCCTCGATTACCCTCGGTATAATTCATTCCCGAACCCCTCAATTGTGGACAGTCCGATCTAATATGGTCCGGAGAATTATAGTGATAACAAACTCGGGTTGCTCGAGAATCAACAACAACATGTCGCGGTTTCCCACATCTAAAACAATATCTCGGATTCTTATTACACTCACCGCGATGTACTCGGTGACATCTGAGACATGGTCATTCAGTAACCCTTATGATTAGGACGGTTATCAAATCTACCAAGTTTTGGCATTTTGAAATCATGTGGCGGTCCATCCCACTTTCTCTTTTCAATCACCTTCTCTCCTAACTGTCTCTTCTTCTGTTTTTGGGTCATTTGCAGCAAAGGAATAAGTTGAGTACCTGAAGGTGTAGCTATCGCTTTAGTTCCCTCAATACGTTCAGGAGTTTCATTATTTTGAGAGTGACCTCACAAAGACTTTAATAAGGTATCCTAAAGCTTACCTAATTCAATAGCCAAATCTTCTTTTGTAATGTATTCAGGATTCTGTAACTGACCCCGACCTCTAGCTTCACCTCTGCCTCGCCCATGGGTTGAACTTGCCTGTACTGAGACTTCTGGTTCAATTTGTAACTCTTGCCCCGACCCCTGACTGTTGTAATTTTCGGTTGATAAACAAAATAATATACATTTAATCACATACCCAAATATAATAAGGCAATCAAGTACAAACATGCACCTGTAAACTCATGAATACATTAACTGGATTTACTTTGAATTTACAGCATAATTCGTTCTTTTAATCCATTATATTTAATATCCCACGGGTTCTAAACATGTTAAGGACATCTTATCATGCAATAAAACTACCTAGTTAGTTTAAGTCTAGGTGTCAAACTGAATACCTAAATTCCTTAAACTCATACTCTGATACCAACTGTAACAACCCGCATATTCACGTAACAAGAAACACATAATGTACATAGATCAACCATATAAGGTTTGCACATTTGGTCCTAGCATATCAAAACTATACATCATCTAAAATATTGAACAAACTTTTTGCTATTATAATCTTGATACAACAGGTTCCTATATAGCAATAATCCTTGACCACCTCCATAGTTAACATCCATACAAATAAAATCACAATTTTCCTTTCCTTTTATCCAGAGGCAGAACACGAACTTTCCAACCGTAGGGGCCGGACTGAATATATTATATATTTAAAGGTACCAAAAATACAATGTCCAAAGTTATAACGTAGTAAAACTCTAAAATTAGACATTAAATATGAACATGTCAAACATCGCTAATCAAAGTGGAACCCGTCGATCTTTCGCGACCTTGAAGTCTTCCACAATTTCCTCTAAACTAATCTTTTCAGCTACTTCCCTTTCAATAAACAAAAGCAATGAGTCGTTTAGAAACTCATTATCCATTTTATTCTGTATTCTTGTTTTCACAATATTCATTGTTGAAAATGATCTCTCGGTTGTCACGGTAGAAACTGGGAGAGTAAGTAATAGACTTATTAATCGATAAATAAGATCAAAAGTGGTTTCTCTTCTAGTCCTTATCAACCATTAACTCAATTCTGCAATAGATGTCAACTGCTTATAATCTATATGTTGAACGACATCAATAGCATAATGGTGTGGATTTTGGGTATTTAAAGTCCATGAATTTAAAGTCCACAGACCACAAAGACAGATTCATGGGTATGGAACCAGCTGAAGGTATGCAATTTTAGTTTTAATGCTTGTAGGTAGCAAAAATGTTGTGAATTTTGGGGTTTTGTCCTAAATTTGAAGTCCACAAAGATAAATATGTTATATATGCACGTAGCAAAATGGTGTGGATTTTGGGGTTTTATCTTTGAAAGATGGAATGGTTAATGAGACATCACAAATATCAGATAAATAAGTTCATAAAGTTTGAAAATTTATTCATATCATACCACAAATACCCTTGAAGAACTCATAAAGATGTATGTATAAATATCCACGGTTAACTACTTAACTTAGGGGTCGTTTACCAAACACTTACTCGGTAAGTGCTTACTGGTAAAATTTAACAACTATTATTTTTTTGGCGGGTAAGATTTTAGTCCACTAAAACAACATCATATGCAACAATTTGCGTGGTAAGAGTCTTCGCCCTCACTTACCGGGTAATACTCTTGGTCCTTGTCTCGCTCTTACCGGGTAAGATTATTGGTCTTTGCCATATTTATTCGGTGAGGTAATGTTACTTGGTAAACGTTTGTAAACATCCCCTAAATGTTCTATCAAATTTAAACCTAATCATCAGAAATCAAACAATTTAAAACTCATCAAATCAAGGCTCAAGTAATAACATTTTAAACCCAATCAATTAAAATATCAAACAAATTTAGACCTAAATCACCTAATCATAAATCATTAATCAAACAAATTTAGGCAATTAGAATTTATACATACTTGCTAAACAGATTTGATGGAGAGAAGACGAGAAGAAGAGAGCAGCCGAGCAGGACTGCAGACTGGAGGCGTGCCGGTGAATGATTTACCATTGAGTGGAGGGGCGCCCAAATAACTTACCGTTGACGTCGAGGAGTTTTAAATTGCCACTGCCACTGCCACTGCCACTATAGGATTGCCGCTGGAGACAGGCTGGTGCCACTACCATTGGAGGACTGGATCAACAAGTGAAGGGGCCCAAATATATTTATACCTAACACCCTTTAGTGGACTGATCAATATGTTGTATTTACTACAAAAAGCCCAGGGGCCAAGGCCCTTATTAAGGGCCTGCAGGCCCTCCGCCCCTGCTTTTATCGTTAAGACGCATCTGTCCTGAAATGCATTTTTTTTAAATAAAAATGAGAGTTAGACCATACAGTTTAATGAGGAAATTCCCTAACAGTTTATTAATCCAATAAAGACCAATTACTGCAAAACAGTTAAATCAAGTAGTCAGAGTTGGCACTCAGATTCAACAACCCTTTCAGGTAACTTATCACAACAGTCGCTACTCAAAACTGCACACACATCCCGACAAGATTGCAATGGTATTGGTTGTGGCCTTGCCACTCAAAACGAGTTCGTTGGCACAATATTTATATATAAATCCCTGCATGGATCATTATATTCCTAACACACCCTGCTCCTGTTGTGTAAGCCCCTTCCAAACCCAAGAATCAAAATTCACATCATAGATGTTAATTTCTAACTTGTAAAATTACCGTAACACAATTAATAGTAATAATCCAAACATGTCAATCAAACATAAAACCAATATAATAATCATTTGATAATATATGCATTTCAGTTGGAAAATGGTGGAGGAAAAAAACTCACCTTGATCACGATAAAAGTTTTAACCGATATGAGTTAACAAAGTTGAACGTGAATCTGAATCAAAGTGGCACAAATCACAACTAAGCAATTAAACTTAACTCTAATCTTAATAAACTTATTAAGCTCTAAACAGTACCCCGAAATACCACAAAACGACATGAGACAAAAAACGAAAAAAAAAACCGTAAATAAAGGCTTGCATAACCTAGTTTTAACCATACTTAAATCCAAGATTTCCAAACTTTATTGACCAAAAATAAAACTTTCAACCAATAAATTTACTCATGGCAACAAAGATAAGCAAATTCCAAACTCTTTAGTCCCATCAAAGTATAAAAAATCAATGCTTAAAACTCATTTGCACAAAGAAATTATTAACCAAAAATAAATAAATAGCACCAGCATAGAGGAGTAATTAAAACCTCTTTATACTAAAAAGTAATTCCCCTTGTGGCCACATAGGTTCAAATACGGTGACTCTAGACTATCTCCAAAAGAAAGGTTCCGTCTTGGGATTAGTCGGCTCGCGTAGCGGGTGGATATCCAGGTTAATAAAAAAAATTCATAATAATCCTAAGAAACTTTAAGAAGATTCTAACCATTTGAATTTATCAAAAAGAAAATACTATAAATTAATTTACCTTATCTGGAACTGGAAGGAAACAAAGAGAAGCGATTCTTTTATATGGTGCCATTTTAAGTTAAAACCCTCTATAAAAGAGAATTAAGACAATCAGCCCCTGAACTTTCAAACTTAACCCGAACTAAAACCTTGGATATTACATATGAACTAATTAACGGGTTTACATATGAACATTTGGTTTATATGTGAATCATATGGGTTCACATATAAACCCGTTTGCGGCTTATTTGTAAAAGTTACGAAACTACTCCTCCATCTTTTGCATACCCATAGGAAGTATCTGGTGTTTCATGATCAATGCCGTAAATGTTGACCAAATGAGATGACGTCTTTACTTCTCAAATATTTATTATTTCTCAAATGAATCTTTCCCCATACATATATATATATATATATATATATTTTGTTAAGTTGACATGAAAGAATCACAAAAGGAATAATCTTGAATGCTAATCACAAAATGGATATAAGTGGTATGAATGTAGTAGAAGTACATAGAGCATAAAGTTGATATGTATGTAGGATTTGAAGGGAGTGTCCAGTTGAGTTTCATATGATTTTAAAGTTGGGACACATGCTTATATGAAAAGATGTTTTATGAATGATTTATTTGTTTACGATGTTTTATGCAAATGTATTTTCGAGTGTTATTACTTTTTTTAGCTTGAATGAAGTATTTTTGAAATGCATGAAATGTTTTTATGTATTTTTGGGTTGGTAGAGATGGTAGGAAACCGGAATGATGTTTTGACCGATATATGTTGCAAAGTACCTTTGTACCGTGTCGATAGATGTTATTCGGTACATGCACCATGAGGTATACCTCTCTACCTGGAGATTCGACATTATTGACGATGTTTCAATCGACACATGTTGCGAATTACCTCTATGCCGAGTCGATTGATTTGAAATAGTACATGTATCGTGAGGCTGATAGCTCTAAAGGAAAGAAGAAGAAGATGTAGTCATTGTTCGTTTTATTCTTTTGATATTAAGCTTCTTTAGACGTTATTATCCATTTAGTACTTTTGGTATTGATTTAAATACTTCCGCTCCTAGGTTTTGAATTTTAAGTTACTTTTTGATTGAGATATATTTTCATTGTTAAGTCATCACAACCTCGAATTTTCGGGTGTGACAAAGAGCAATACTTAATTGGTTAAAAAAATCATGAACAAAGTCTGAAAATTGATCCTTGGTTGATCGAGAGTCGGTCCTTTCGCAAGAAAAAACCGACAAAATCTCAAAAAATAAGTCAAGGTTTTACCCAAATTATTTGCTATGGTTAAAAAATTTATACAATATTAAGACAATATGTAATTTGTGATCGTCAATTATGATATAGATTAAGTTATCCATATGAATTAGATTGTCTATATAGATTATACTTAATGGGTGTTCGTTTGTTGTGTTGCATAAGTTGTCTGAATGATATAAGTTTTAATTTTACCCTTTATTTTTGCTTTTTGTGTTTGATTGATCCCAATTACAAGACATATTTCTCTGTAGCCTGTAACCAAAACCTATAAAAGATTTATAACCCAAACCCAAATACAAAATCAGTTACGAAATCTCAGATTGAGAAGCAAACCAAAAAAACGAAGAAACAATAAACAAATACAATCCACATTGTTGGTCAACTTGAGACAATTGAAACAAGACTGAAGAAGGAATCGATGCTCGTGCATTCATCCCACTCCTCTCTCTCCATTGCCATCCACAAGTGGTATTGCAAGAGAATAATCTTCTTGTTTCTTCTCTATATTATAACTCTTAAGAAACAAGAAGCAAAGAAAAAAAAAGTAAGCCCATTTTAGATCCAAATCGAGAGATCTAGTCGAAGATATGAAGAAGACATAATGGAGAGATGGAAAAGCAAGCAGGGACAGTTGGAGAGTGACAGAAGAGAATGAGACCGCAGATAGTGAAGGGAGAGAAAGAGAACGCCGGTGAATAGAAGTGATGGGAGAGAATGAGACCGTCAAAGAATGAGAGTGACGGGAGAGATCAAGATCGATTGTCAGCGAACTAGGAAAGTTTTTGAGGGATCTGGTGAGAGAACAAGAGGATAGTGTTTTGAGAGACATGATCCATGAGAGAGAGCGTGATATGTGCCTTTTTGTTTGATTTGGGTGTGTTTCACAAAAGGGGGAGGATGTAAATTATTTGGCTGAAAGCATATGACTTCCTTCTATGGGTTGAGGGAATAAGACATTTTCTGACCCATTAAGCCACTTTCGAACATGTATGTATGGCTTAACCAATAAGCCATACATGCCATACAACTCATTAAGTCGTTACCGAACAGCCCCCAAGTCTATTTTAGACATGAAAACCTATTGCGGTCCAAACATTAATTGACAAGAGGGTTGGGGGCATGTATATTAGGGATGCTCAAAAAATTGACCCACCAAACCAACCGGCCAACCCAACCCAACCCAAAAAATCTTCAACCCAAGGTAAGCCCGACACATAGTTGATACATAATTAAGCCAAACCGTATCTATTGGGTTGGAATTGGGTTAGGGTACTCAATGAACCCGATGTCTTTCTATATTATGGATTTAATATGATTGTTAAGTCATTGATTAATGTAACGACCCGCCAAAACATATTACATATGACACATAATTGCATATAACAACTCACAATGATATTACATATTGGTCCTAAGTGTATATACAATGATAAAACTACCATAAGTCTACTATAAAATTTTGTTTTTATAGCTTGTATATGATAGTTCCATAAGCTCACATATCAAACAAGTTTCATACAAGAACTTTGATCACGCAAATAAACATCACATCTTTCCTTTTATTTTATCCTCGGGATGAGACTACCCTGAAATGCATATTTTCGACCATAAAGTTTAGTGAAGAAATACCTATTAATACAACATCGTATAAAATCAGTAAGTATCAATCTTTCAAAATATTAAATAGATAATGACTTTCAAAAGATGTATATCTACTACATATAAGATTGATAATCTGACTAAGGCCCCGTTTACTAATCTCTTACCACCTCTTACCTATTAAGAGATGCTTACATGGGTAAGAGGTAAAAGTGTTTACTTAAAAACAAAATCAATCTGTCTCTGACCGTCCTCTTATTGGGGTCAGCAAAACAAATCAATCTTACCATGGTAAGAGGCATGCATTCCTTATCTACCCTCTCCATCTAAAAAAACCCTAAATCGGTGCGCTTTTCTTCATACAAATTGGTGCAGCAGCTTGCTTCAGGTATCGTTGGCTTCATTTTCTCTTCGATTTGTATTTTACTCAATCAATACTTAATACAAAATGTTTGGTAAATAAGAAAATCGAATATGCATTTATTCCAGTCAGACCTCTTACTGGAATCAGCACTTAACCAAAAAAATTGGTAAACGGCCCCTAACATCATTTCATAACATATGTATTTAGTTCAAAGGTATGTAAGAAAACTCACCCACGTTTATACATTAAACTCTTAACTAGTAACGAACTTTGATACCGAACATGTGAATCTAAATCATATAAGCATGGGTCAAAATCTATGTATTAAACCTTACCATAACTCTTAAGACACTCTAGGACACCTAAACAATAACCCGAAAGACCCCAAAACAATATGAAAGAAAAATGAAAAAA